ATTTGGACAACTTTAAAAGCGATTTTCTCAATATTTAGATTTTTTTGCACCCTCAGATTCCAGATTTTCAAATAGTTGTATCTCGGCCAAATATTGCCCTATCCTAACAAACTATACATCAATGGAAAGCCTATTTATTCAGCTTAGATGATGTATAAATCTCAATTTCGAAAAATTGACCCTTATGACTGGTTTTGTGGTCCAGGGTCACACACACACACATATATATATATATATATATGTGTGTGTGTGTGTGTGTGTGTATGGGTTGTTGACGTGACATGGCATTTTCACTGTCCCACATGATATAAATGAATAGGCCTATAATTAATATTGTCGTTATTTAAAATGCAGTAAAAGGTTAAACATTTATTTGTCCTACATGGACCTATTGTTATAAAAGCTGCAGTGTTATTCAATTTTTTTTTTAATTTTTGAGCTAAATCTCAAAATTGTCCTATGGTGTGACTGTCTCAAGCATGGTTCAATAAATTACAACTTTTATAAATGAAAAAGAAAAGCATAAAAATTGTAATAAATACCTCTGGCATAATTGTACAAGTGTCTATTTTAGTAAATGGCAATCATTTTTTTCATCCATATATTTCTGAAAGCGTAGTAACCATGTCCTTCTAGAAGAGTGCAGCAGGGGGCTAGAAGTTGCAGTAACATACTGATTGACTAAGAGACTGAATTTTGTTGATGAAAATTATTTTTTGTTTTGTTTAAAAAACATGGATATTGTTTGTATCAAAGTTAAACTTTCTTTCTCCTTTGACATGTTCAAAATTAAATGGAAATAAATAACTACCATTTCTGTCCTTTAGTGTGATGTAATGTCCTATAGGTGTGACGCACATAAAAGAACCACAGATTTGTTTTATATCTCAAAATATCTTTAAAAAACAGTTGAGTATTGCAATAGGAGAGACACAAATATCACTCAACTTAAAATGGTATAATTTTCAGCAGTTTTGAACGAATGACAGCAAAGTTTGTCTTGTCAAAGTTTGTCTTGAAATTGTCCAAGTCATGGGGAAAAAATTGTTAATTATAATTTCATATTAAATAAATAGCACTATATGAAAATAAGTGTCTAATAATGAAGATAAATCTCTCTCTTGCTATTTAGAGGTTTTTTTTCTTCTTAATTTTTGCTACGTCACACCATAGGACAAATTTATGGTACAGTTCAGTAAAAATGTAAAAAAAAAAAAAAAACAGTGAAAGAAGTTAGTGACCCCTTACATTTTCTGAAACATCAGACTTCATAAATATGTATTTCTTCATCAAAAATGGTCTTTTACAAAAAAAATAATTTTTACTGCCTATTTGTCAACTACCCCTATATATATATATATATATATAATATGTGTGTGTGTGTGTGTGTGTGTGTGTGTGTGTGTGTGTAGTGTATGTATATATATATATATATATATATATATATATATACACACACACACAGTTGAAGTCAAAAGTGAAAACTTTTGAACAGAATGAAGATGTGTATGTTTTTCTTATTTTGCCTAAATATCATATTTTTTCATTTAGTACTGCCCAGAAGCTACAGAAGATAGGCTACTTACTTACATGTAGGGCTGGACGATAAATCGATAGCGATAATTATCGCGATATAATTTTCCTCGATATAAAGATATAAATGCTCGATATAATGTTTATGCGACAAAAGTGGAACAAAACAGCGCAACTCATTTGAAGCGCGACACACGGACCCTTTATATCCACTCAGATCAAAGTACAAACTGCTGCGCAGCGCGTGCTCACTAGAGCAGATGCGTTTACCCGGTCACGCAACACAATAAACAGCGCTGTGAGATCCAGTGTGAAGCGCTTGAACTCAGCGAAGAACACAAATGACTCGGCGATTTAAACTAGTTTAAAGCCAGATGAAAGCACTAACAAACAGCAGAAACACTGTCAGAAGGCTTTTCAATCTACAAATCGCCATCATTTACCATGGATTTCTTGTAGTAACACTAACTGCACCATGGTATTGTAGCAGAAATGTGGGTATTTGTATTGAATATTATACTATTAAAGGGGTCATATGATGCGATTTCAATTTTTCCTTTCTCTTTGGAGTGTTACAAGCTCTTGGTGCATAAAGAAGATCTGTAAAGTTGCAAAGACTAAAGTCTCAAATCCAAAGAGATATTCTTTATAAAAGTTAAGAGTTAACCACACCTATCAGTAATTATGTCCCCACTGGATGCAACAAATGCCTCGTTTGTAATGGGTTTTAATGTTTTTGTCTCGTCGCTCCGGCCGGACAGGGCATCACAGTATGGTGAGGGGCGTAACATTTCCGACACACGCTTGAGGTATTCAGCCAATCACAACGCACTGGATAGCTGGCCAATCACAGCACACCTCGCTTTTTCAGACCGATGAGCTTTGTTAAAATCGACGCATTTCAAAAAGGCGGGGCATAGAGGAGAAACAATAATGTACAGTATGTGGAAAATAATGTTTTTTTTACTTTAAACCGCATAAACATTTCATTACACCAAATACACAAACTAATGTTCTTTTTAGCAGCATCATATGACCCCTTTAAAACACTGGTCTTTTTTTATTCAAGTATATTTGTATATAGGAACATGAGACTTTTGAAGGAATGCTGGTTCTCGAGGGAAATATTGTTTCAAGCGTTAAGCTTATGTCAGGCCTTTAACTATGTGTCATGATATAAAAATATAATTGTGCTGTCAGGTGACATTGTGGCTTCATTTAAAGGTCAGAGACAATAACAGAAGTGCGTGTTTGGTTTTATAGAGCTCACTGTCCTGTGCTCTTTTAAAGAGGATTTTGGAGAGTATTAACAGTTGAGTTCATGTTGATGAGAGTCGGTCACAGATGAGACTCTGATGCTCATGTGTTTCGGCTTCTCTGTTGTGAATCTTATTTAAGGTAATTTTACAGTTATACTTTGGCCTTAGTGTGATTTTTTTTTTTTGGAGCAATGCGAGTGTCTACATTTTATATCATCACTAAACGAGTATTTTCGATTGTCGTTTCGCATGATTGTGTTTTTATAGCTTAGCAGCATAAAGGTCAAGTTTATTTTATGTCAGTGTGTTCATGTTCAGAGGCACATGTCTGTATGTTTAAGAGCTTAGGATGTTTACTGCATCTGTCTCATAAATTATATCATAAACTTGGGTGTCTCATTATTTGGAAAAAGTTATTTTATTACTTTAATTTACTAGATGCATTTTGTAAAAATATATTTATATAAAATATTAAATATTTTTGTGTATTTGCGTTACTCTTTGTTACTCTTGTGATGTGACTGCAAATGATTTTCAGAACACATATGTAACGCTCTCATTTTCATGCAGTATAAATAATTAGCATTAGCCCTTGAACTGGGTTGGTTTCTGCAGATGCCTCCTGAGCTGGAGTGAGTGTGTGTGTGTGTGTGTGTGTCTTTGTCTGTGTGTGTGTGTGTGTTTGTGTGTGTGTTGTTCTGCGTCATGGGTCAGACAGCAACAGGATACGCTTGCATTCATGCCTCAGTTCTCTCAGACAGAGCTGCCTGCTTGTGTGTGTAAGTGTATATTTGTGTGTCTGTCCAAGTGTCTCTCCTCTCTTCATTATTATACACTATTATAATATGAAACTCAGCACAGTTTGACTATAATCCTATTAAAATAATATTGTAGAATTCAAATGGTGTATTGTTCCTGATTCAATTCAGATGAGAGATATATTCATCTCTGATCCATCTAAATCAGATCAATTTTTCCAGTTCACTACAGATATGGAGCATTTCATTTTTTAAACCATAGATGCACAAATCTTACATATTTTAAAACACTATTTGATATGTTATATTCAAATCTAGTATAAAAAGTAATAAAAACTGACACCACCCTTTTACAAGAATTTACATCAATTTGATCCTTTCTGCTGCATTGAACATTTTTAAAAAAAGTAAATAATCTCCATCATTTTCTGATTTTTTTTAACAAATATTGAACCATTCAACCCTGTTACCAAAGTTAACAATCTTTTTTTTTCAATAATAACTATATTTATTTATTCCAATTTAGACTGAATTTGGAACCATGTTAACTTATTCTAGTGCAAGTATTTTTATTTTATTTTTCATTTTTATAATTTTTAATATATATTTATTACTAGAAAATAAAATCACACATAAAGTTTTTAAAATGTATTTACACCGTCCTTAAATTTGGTTACAGGTTACAAAATTGCAAAACTCATATAAAATGAATACTCATATTTCGTTTGACCCCCTGAAGTAGATTATTATTTTTGAGTTTGAGGGTCCTATTTTGTCCCTGTACCCTGAAAGTACCTCTGATCCACCACAATTTCAAACTTGAACACAATATAGACTCTCTGTTTGCTGTCAAAAGCTCTTTTACAGAGCCACTGAGAGGCTAAAATGACAATAGTGTTTTACTGGAACAAGACACAGCAGTCTATTGCACACAGTTACTGTACTTTACTGTACAACCCTCCCTCCCTCTCACCCGGTTCACTCCTCCAATCTCAGCCCATCAGCAGGTGCCCTGAAAAATGAATCAACCAATCACATCTGTGCACTTACGAGATGTTTCAATGGTCAAGGTCTTTATTTCAATTTCTTATCCAAACACTGCTTCACAAGGTTTCATAATGTAGTGCTAACAGCCCTTTGGAGTCGAGTCTTTTGATTAAATATGTGTGTGAGTGCGTTTTAAATCTCCATAACTAGTGTTCAGCAGATTTCAAGGCACTAGGAGTGTGTGTTGGTCCTGTGGTGGATGGTCCCTTTGCTTCCCCCTGCTGGAGCAACACATTTATGTTCACTCAATGCTCTGACACTGAGCCTGCGTCCCAATTCATACTATTCATCCTAAATTCTATGTGATATTAGTAATTTTCAATACTATTTAGGGCAGATAGGGTGGTGGATAGTATGCACATTGGGACGCAGGAATAGTCTGCATTTGGAATTCATACTACTCGTACTATTTAGTAAGAGCAGTATGCTATATCAGACTAGACCTGTGAAAAGTACAGCATCAAGTGTATTTGTTGCTCCTCCAGGAGTGTTTGAAATACTACTGCTTCTGTAGCATATAGTATGTGTATATATATATATATATATATATATATATATATATATAAAATATGTGTATTTTCTTTAAATGCATGAATGGATGATATTCTACTTTAGCTTAAATGTGTAGTATACAAGAGCACACTTCACTGTCCTGTAACCTACAATGCAATGTGCTGTACTTGTTTTTTTTTTCCATTACTCATTTGGCTGAACTTCTAAAAGTAAACTAATTTTTACATATACATAGACTTAAAATGCAAAATAACAGATTCCTTAATTAATTATTCATTCACTGGAATTAAAAACGTGACATGTCTAGCATTCAACATTTTGCATAGGCTACTGAATGACAGTATTTATTAATTTTTTTAAAGCAGTATAACGTATATACTATGTATACAGTGTATAATAGTATACTAATATACTATCTGTGTATTAGTATTACTGTGTGCCATCCCAACATTCAGTTCCTTCTAACTTTGCACAAGATAAAAAGACAAAGTAATAAATACACTGATGCAATACAATGACTGAATGTGGTGTGTGTGTGTGTGTGAGAGTGTTTGTTATTCATTAAAAAATACACAGTTCAAAAGTTTGAGGTCAGTAAGATTTCTAATGCTTGTGACAGAAATCTCTTATGCCCACCACAGCTGCATTTATTTGATCGAAAACAAATGAAAACTAATATTTTGAAATATTATTACAATTTAATATGTTTTGTATTTTAATATATTTTAAAATGTCATTCCTGAGGCAAAGCTGATGTTTCAGTAACCATATTATTTTATCAATGTTGAAAACAGTGCTACTTAATATGTTTGTGGAAACTGATACATTTTTTTCATGATCCTTTGATGAATAGAATAAATACAACATTTATTTGAAACAAATCTTTTGTAACATTATAACTGTATTTACTATAACGACTCACTTTTGATCAATTTAATGCATCCTTGATGAGTAAAAGTAGTAATTTCTTTCAGGGGGAAAAAATAGTGACCACAAACTTTTGAATGACAGTGTATCTTTTTGGAAAAGCATTTTGTCCCCTCCCAAACAGTGTTTTTTCATTCAGTGTGGCAGACAAACACACCAAGAGGGAATGCTGCCATAAATTGCAAAGTACAGTTGAAAGCTCCCAGTGCTCCCAGATTCCTAAGAATTGCATTTTGTTGAAAGGCCGTGTGGCCACTGGCCAAAAGAAATTGCCCACGTTCACGGTTGGCACTGAAAAACCGCTTATAGGCGGGCCCGTCTGCGCTGTCCAATCAGAGCTCAGTCTGAAGTTGATTGACACATTCTAATTCTACTGGGTCAAAACATCAAAGGGATTCTTCATGTAACAGTCCTAAATAGTGCGCTTTATTTGGACTTACAGTCTTCACTTGCACGTGTCCATTAGGTGCCAAAGCTACAGAGTGTCCCATTTGTGAATTTTATGATTCACAGGCTCATGCTGTGCCTTTTTGTGAAGACCTCACATGTATATTCCTTGTGTTTCCGTGTGTTTGTGTGTCAGTGTGTGAGCACGGCGATGAGCTCGTCGATCTGCGCCGTCTCTGAAGGCTCCAGCAGTCTGAACGTGTGGCTGAAGGTGATGAAGTGTGTGAAGAACGTGTTGAGCTGCGGGTGTAACTCCACGGCGATGGCGTCCTGGTAGTGAACGCTGAACAGGTGAGCCAGCGTGCGGAAGAGCATCACAAAGATCTTCTGTATCAGGAACATGAATCCAGAAGGGAACGCTGAACCTAAACACACACATACATACACAGTCACTTCTGATCATTTTCAGCTCATTAGACTAAGGCAAATTCTGATTGTGAGAACCTCATACCGGCCTTGGTGGGAAACACACGCTCATCTGTGAGAATCTCCTGAATGTAGGACAAGGCGTAGTCGATGTAGATCGGAGCTGAACACTTCAGTTTCTTCCCCTGATCGTCTGTCCATTCATACAAACTGAAAAGGCAAACAAATGACACAAAATTGCAATTGTAACCATGCAATATTTTAGATTACTTAGATTATTTAGATACTATTTCTGCAGCCGATGATTATTAAATGACTATATTCTGTGATTAACATGTAGAATCACTATAATGATCTGTGTTATCAGAATAATCTCTTGTATATTTACCGTAATAGTGCTGCAGCATGAATTAATTATACAGTTGCATCTTGGTGTTTTTGCCGTTACTGCTGTTGTTTGTTATGTGGCGACAAAGCTACTTGCTATGTAATGATGGTTTTGGGATTTTTTTAAAAATAATTTTATTTAAAATCACATGCTGATTGTCATCATTGGGTGTTGATATCTGCATTCATATATGTATCCATGCAAATCATATTAAAATAAACCAGCAATAACAACCACAACTACTACTAACTACTATCTATCTATATATATATATATATATATATATATATATATTACCTTCAGTGTTTCATAAATTTTTTTTATTGTAGTTTATTTAATCCTGTCTTTGTCTTACAGTGTAGTTTTCATCTAAACACCATATTGACTACAGAGCTACTACTGTAAAATGTTGTGATATTGTATTGTTAACTATAATAAACTGTTGGCAATATTTGGTAAGGTGTACATATGCCACATTTTTTTGCCTGTATTCAAGCTGTGAATTTAGTCTCTTTTATCTAGCTGTAATGAAGTGTGTTTGTTCTGCTCACATGTTTCCTGAGCTCTTGGCTGCCGGACACGTGGTCATGGAGCAACTATCAGACAGAGCGCTGAAGAAGAGGGTTGTGTGCTGGAAAAACGACACCGCTGGAAGAGATGGTAAGATGAGTTAACACACATTACACACACAGAGCCTAACAAACCCACAGACCTCTGCCAAACTATCTGATAAGTAGTGCAAACAAAAATGGCTTTTGTCTCAAACTGTTTTTTCTTTGTAGTACATACTATTTTTGTTGTGTATTTTTTGTTATTTTATGTATTTATTTTTTTTTTATTGTAAGTGGGTGCTTTCAGGTCAGAATAAGTTAAGCTACAGAGTCCAGACCAGCCTTTATTTAAATGTCTAGATATGTGAGCCAAGCCCAACACATTCCCATCATTCCTTTACGTGTTTCTGAACATTATACATATGTTGAGAAATATTTGACATGTTTCCGTTTCTAGTGTATTGTTTCATCCCAGAATTGCTCACTCAGATGACACTTTTAAATGTGTCATCATTTTATAATCACTGGGTGTTTAACTGGCATTATGTGCACTCTGACTCGTGCGTTTGTGTGTGTGTGTGTGTGTGTATTTAATTTACTACATATATATATATATATACACACACACACACACACACACACTTTTTTTTCCAAAATATTAGTTTTAATTATATTTAATTTACTGCATATATATATATATATATACACACACACACACACACACACACACTTTTTTTTCCAAAGTATTAGTTTTAATTAATTTTAATATGGTTGTTTCTGGCATTAATTTTTTCTATTTTGTTTGTGTGTTTGAATACTCACTGTTTGTTGCTATCCACTCCTGCTGGTCGAGGCCGTGCGGCAGGGCAGAGAGGGTCAGGAGGTCGAGATCAGTGATGCGTCTGGACAGGAAGTGATCTTTCAGGTAAGGTTTGACCGCAGCAGACGGGACTATATGTAGACTGTTACTCTTTCTGTCAACACACACAGTCAACAGAATACTCGATGAGAATCCACAGCAGATAAATTTATTACATTTTGATATTTTTAATAAATCTGCAAAAATGTCAACAATTCTGTGTTTTTCTGTCAATATGGGGTGCTGTGTGTACATTAATGAGGAAAAAAAATTAACGTAAATGATTTTAGCAAATGGCTGCAATATAACAAAGAGTGAAAAATTGAAGGGGGTCTGAATACTTTCCGTACCCACTGTAAATTTACACTAATCACTTGTTCACAATATGACCAGGAATGGAGGGTCAAATAGAGTCATTTTAAACATTTATGAATTTAGTAGATGCTTTTATCCAAAGTGACTTACAAAAAAGGAAAAAAAAGCAATTCATTAAGGAGCCAGCAATATTTGTAATATACAATGCCATGTTTATTTGACAACTAGATTAAGCAGCAAGCTGGAGAAGAGGGGAAATGCATAAATAAATCTCATTTGAAATGTGCTGATATTTAGCTGCAGTATGTGCCTGACTGGCTTTGCGATGGGAAATGTGAAATTCTTTTGCAGTGAGCTTGTCTGCTAGTTAATTTGTGTTCAAATAGTTATGCTGTTGAGCAAATGGCAAACAGTTTGCGAACACACAGTGTGATGTTACACAAGGACACACAGGGATTTAGTTTGGTTTAGTTTGTCATGTGTGCACATGGGGCTGGTCGATTACTGTATGTGCTGAAGGAGGTTGTGTTTTCCGACGGCTTTAGTGAGCAATCAGCACATTCTTATTGGAAAGAGTGCTGCTTTCTACTGTAGACAGCGCAAATTTTCATTCATGCAAATGAGAAAAACCACACACACGCTGGCCTGGTGGAGTGCACTGAGTGTGTGAATGCAGAGAAAACAGACCTCTGAATTTAGCCTTGAAATAACTGTTAGAGTGTGTTTGTGTGTGGTGGGAGGTTTGAGACGGTGGCCTTGACCTGACTGATTAAAACAGGCTGTGAGGTGGAATATCTGCCATATGGTTGTCCAACAACACCTGGGGCCTCATTTATAAAATACTGCGTAGAAAGAATCCTAAATTTGATTTTACGATCATTTCTCAAAGTGCGTACGTGTGATTCATAGAACGAACGTACGCACAGAAAACGTGCGTACGCCTCTCTTTTAGATGTGAAATCTATAAATTGCAATGATCTTGAAATTGTGCGCAGCTGAACAGTTTCAGATCTCCGCCCTGTAAACAATGTCTAATTAATGTCCTTGACTTATAAAAGAGCACCTGACAATGTCCAAATCTTTTACAAGCGGCAAGAATGGCTTATATTTCCAAAAACCTGCAGCACTCGGGCAAACAAAAGTGCGTACGTCTGCTTGGACCCTGACGTGGCGCTAAGCTCTTTTCCACATCAAAGACCGTTTTTATGAACGTTGCCGTGGATTTTCACACTCTACGATCAAATCTGTGCGTACGCACATTTTATAAATGAGGCCCCTGGATACTTATGCAATGTACAAATGTTATTGCATTTTTGTCTATTGCACACATAGTGGTTCAGCTTGTTGCTCATTACCTACTGATGTAAGAATCACCTTTTTAAAACTGATGAGATTCTCATCACACCCTGTTGCATTATCGCATGATTTCATCTAAATCAGCCCCTCTGATGAGGTATTTTTCAGCAAGATCCCTCAGGCATCACTTGCAGCACATCTCATCACTGTGCTGAAATACTATGTTTACCATGCCTTTAATGGACACTTGAGGACTGAGGAGATGTAATGTTTTTTTAGTATTTTTTTAAAAGAAATATAGATGCCAGTATTAAGTAAATATGGTCACTTTTAATGTATTATATATATATATATATATTATGGCTGTAGTCATAAATTATAACTTGTGTAACTTCATGTTTGTTTAATAGGAAACTCAAAAAAACAAACAATTTGAATGGTTAGTATTATAGTTAGTATTCCCTTGATGTGAGGTTAGATTCTATTAGATAAAGGTCACATTAGATACAGCAGCTTAAAATATTAACAAGTAAAAGAGCCATGTATTTCTAATTTAGAAGTGACTGACCTACAAAAGTACCTACAAGTACAATGGGTATTTATAATGCACATACCATGCTTTTTTGTGTATGTAATATCATGGTATGCGAGTACCATGTAACTGTACTATTACATATGAAAATACATGTGCCTATTTCATGTTTAATGCTTATGTGAAGGATAAAGTGTTGGTTTTAGACAATATTTTCTAATCAAGCAATGCATTTTTTCTTCAAAATAACCAGTTGCACTCATGCACGGGTGTGCGGAATGTAAATACACAGGCAGCGGGAGGTGTGTTTACCCATAAACCCTTGTGCAGAGTCCATGTTTTCACACACAAACACACATGGACTTGTGGAAGTTTCCTTTGACTTTCAAGCTTTTTCCAACACGAAGCCCAACTGAAACTACTTATATGCTCTCACACATTCTGTCTCTCTGAAGATATGCATGGCGCTTATCTCTTCAGCAGACATTTGTCTGATGTATGCATTCCTTATTTTACTGCCTATCTAGTGTGCGTAGGTGCAGTATATACTCACACTTTGAACAGGCTGACATTGGTGTAGTTTGCCTTCAGAGTGCTGACATCCTCTTCATCAGAGCTGCTGTAACTCTGACATCCCCCCATATCCAGGATGCTTCTACCCATTAAAGGCCCTCAGAAACACACACGCCTCATTCAGACCTTAAACACACCGATGAACCCGTCACGTAAACAAACACACTGCATGTCGTTTTCATCTACATGATGTCCAATCCTGGTCTACGTCCAGACTGTTGCTCCGTCCAGCATTCTTTCTGGTTTCTTGCTGGTAAATGTGTTTGTGTTCTCTCCTCTGTTCTTTGTGCGTCCTACACTTCAGGCTGAGTCTCCTTGTCTCCGGTGAAGCAGACGGACAGGTTCCACCAGTAGTGAAAAATATTTACTCTCTTACACACACTCAAAGCCACGCCCACTTCCCCAAGCTGCCCCGCCTGCTTTCACCTGAGGGCACCGCCCTCTTGTGCCTCCAGGGGAACTTTCACTTTCAGTGCACTTCACGCAGGATTGATGTCATTTCCAGTCATGGAATTTTCCGTGAAGTTTTGTTCATTCCTTTGGTTTCATGTTCATGATGACATAAGGCAAATCATCAGGTATGGTGTACCCAAACTTGCATTTGGACATTTTAAAATACATTTAAAATCTATGAATTGTATAAAGTTAACACTTTATAATAAGTTCTCATTTGATTAAAATTAGTTAACATGTACTAACAATAAACAATACTTTCACATCATTTATTAATATAGGCAAGTTTCTACATTTACTTGCTCATTTTTTTTTTTTTTTTAATCAAAAGTTGTGTTAGTGAATCCACTCTGAACCATGAACTATTAACTTGCATTAAAAATGCTGTAAAAAAATATATTGCTCATTGTTAACGTTAGCTAATGCATTAACAAATGAGACCATATTATACAGTGTTACCGACGTAAATTAATTTTGCAGTTAATCAGGCACTGAATGGCTAAACATTTTGCAACAATTTACAGAATAATACTTATTGTTTTGCAATGCATAATGGACCTACTTTATTGAACATGTTAATATAGTTTGTCATTAATAAACTTAAGGCTATATAATGGTTGAGATCTGAGATCACATTCATAATTTTCTACATTTATTTTATTATCTTAATGATTTTAAAAAGTTTTTTTGTCTTGATCTTTGAATGATTCATGTGTAAGAAATTTGTATAATAAATAAACATGCCTTGATTTGCCAAAGTACAGGAACATTACAATTCAATTTTTCACTTGTATTGAACGTGAAGCACATTAAGTTTTTATTTTTGATTTTAGCACATTTATATTAATTTTCCCCCCAGTTTATACATGGGCTGTACCTTTGGTTAACAATTTACAATAAGGTCACAACTGCATTAGTCAATGAACTAACAATGAAAAATATTTAATGAAGTATTAGTTAAAAGTAGTTAATGAAGTTTGTCATTTACTAATACATTAATCAAGTTGTACCTGCTAACATTATTTAATGGAAGTGTGTTAACGTTAACAATAAACAGTTAATGACCATTGACCATTAACAAATGTTAAACACTGTAACAAATGCATTGCTCATTGTTAATGCAGTAACTAACAATTTAATCTGACCTTTTTGTAACGTGTTACCTTACCTTTGTTCACCCAATTATATTGTAATTTTGACACTTAAAAAAAAAAAGTTACATTTTCATTGCTTAATGTAGACTGCATTCATCATCTGCAACCCCCATTCTAGCCAGATGAACTATACATTGTAAAATGACCTTAAACCAATGTTTTAGTACTAACTAGTTAATTATTGTGCATATACATAGCTTTAGTTTATTCATTTGGAAAGAAAAAAGGTGTTTTGGCTTAACACATTTGACACGCAAACCCATTTGAAATATTTATTTGTTTGATATCTGATTTTAAAGCCTAACTCTGACAACAGATAACGGGTACAGTATTGCATTTTACCAAAAAAAAAAGGAAATAAAAAGAAACCACCAGCATCAGTATACATTAAAAAGGCATTTGACTAAATGACAACAGACCTGTGTTCCACTTTCACACCATGGACAGATGCTCAAGGCAGAACATAACACAAAATATTGTACCAGTTCATAACGTACAGTATGCGTTTGTGTTTTTGGGTACATGAAGACATACAAGAGCTGAAAAGAAAATAACCCAACAACAGAAACCTGGATTTCACAATGCAAGTTGTGATGCATCTATTTATGCAGCTATAAAATCTTTATGGTTGTGTGGTGGAAGAAGGGGATATGAAACTAACTGAAAGAATGTGAGAATTAGAATCACAAATTGTGGCATTATATTAGCACAATTCTTACATCACAGTTTTGATAAAAACTCAGTTCCCTTCTCGTTCATGTTCTGCTAATGCATCGGAGCAAATGACAAATCATTAACAGCAGCAAAACTCGCTAAACCCGTTTACGGTATCCGACAGGACAACTAAACATCTAGACATCGGGGGGAAATGCCTGGACTAGATTACACAGAAAAAGTGGTTAATACAAACCTGAATGTACACGGAAGACGAGATAAAGGGGGATTAGTGTCTTACCTTTTATTTCTAGTAAAGGCCACAACTAAGTGGCAGTATTGAAGCGCTGAATTAAATTTAACCACAAATATGAATGAAGTAACGATGAGAAATTAGAAAGAATTCAGTCTCCGTGAGGAGAGAATAGAACCCTGTTATCCATAACGGGAGAAAGACAGAATATTAAAGAAAATATTTGGCAAAAAATTTAAAATGATTAATAAGAAAATAAAAATAAACATATAAATATGAATTACATTCAAGCACAGAGCCTGGTACCGATCAGTCGACATTTCTCTCCGGTCTCGCTCTTTAGTCTCATAATACAAACACACTCACACGTGCAAACGTCTGCAATTATAACTACACCACAAACGACTTGTAAACTCAAAAATGCACATGGACCAAACACCGACCAAGGGCTCTCGTTATCGTACCGCCACTAACATCCCATTGCATTTGGTATCAAAATCAAGTTTTTAAAAGTGCAAAAACAAACTGAAAACACACCGAGCCTCTTCAACATTCACACACACACACACTCGCTCTCCCAAACAGTTTGTGTGCCTGTGTGCACATTTCAAAGCTACATTACTAATAAAAAAGAAAACAAACCCAAGAAATTATTCATACTATTATTGCTATCTCTCTAGATTCAAATGAACACTGCAGTGTTCTAGTGTTTCGCTAGTAGTCATACAAAATATAATATTAAGTGTACATATTGTAAAGAATACACATCGATAATTATTACTAAGACCTGACAGTGATATAGGAAGATGTGATTAAAGATACATGTGCACGTGTTAAACACTGATGTGTCATTCTCTGATATTTCAAGGCACACGCACCCTCGGTTCTTGGACTCGCTCAGACACACGACGTTCACCTGAGTTCATTCGGATACCAACCACAGACACAAGAAGAATAAAACGGACTTACATAAACATGTTACAAGGGATAGTTCATCATTTACTCACCCTCAACATGCCTTTTTCCTTCATGGAACATAAAAGGAGAAGTTGGTCTATACGACTTGTGCGCTAAATTCCAAGTCTTCCGATAACGTTGTGAGGAAAACAACGAAATTTAAATCATCATTTGCTGAAGATGAACAAATCAGCTATAAAACACAATGCACAAGGTTTAAAGCAAATACATGTCTTTTTTTTTTTCTGGTGTTTTGACCAATCAGGATGCAGCAAGTCTAAATAAATGCAAATGAGATTTAAATGCTATGATGGAGGGAACTTTTTCACAAACAGTTCCACAATCATTTGCTGAAGATGAACAAATCAGCTATAAAACACAATGCACAAGGTTTAAAGCAAATACATGTCTTTTTTTTTTTTCTGGTGTTTTGACCAATCAGGATGCAGCAAGTCTAAATAAATGCAAATGAGATTTAAATGCTATGATAGAGGGAACTTTTTCACAAACAGTTCCACAATATTTCATTTAATTTTTTAGTCATAATGACTAATTTTATGGTTCTATTTTGTCTATTTTGAAACTTGACAGTATAAATTACCATCCGCTTACATTCTGTGAAAAAGAGCAGCATGAACATTCTATTAAATATCTTCTTTTGTGTTCTTTAGAAGAAAGTCATTCATGTTTGGAACAACATGATGATGAGTAAATTTTTACTTTTAGGTGAACTATCCCTTTTATATGGAAGCTTGTTTCTTCCACAGAATTAAAAAAAAAAAATTTGTGACTTTTCCCCACAATTCTGATTTTTCTCCCCTCAGAACTGCGAGTTTACATCTCGCAATTATAATTTTACATCTTGCAATTCTGAGTTTATATCTTGCAATTTTTATCTCAACATTTTTTCTCACAATTCTGAGGAAAACACTTTCATATAAAAACAGCCTACAACAAAACAGAAATATTGAGACCTGCTCACAGTTATTTTTGCTCATATATGTGTTTTGTGGATGACGGGTGAAGCTGGAAACATAAATGCTGTGGAAACATAAGTGCAAAAAATCGGTACTGAAATCAAATCAGTACCGGGCCCAAGGGCTACAGCAAACAGAGATATTGATCAAGACAGAACACACACACACACACACAGACTTGATCTCTTGTCTGTTCTAAGTGGAAAACACTGGTTTAGAAACATAAAAATAACACCATAAATCACACCTGTAGATGTACCAAGCATATTTACGCATACATGAGAATTCACCTGTGGATGTGCATTATATTCTAGTTCCACAACACTCAAAAAACACACACACAGACTGTAGTGGGGCCGCTCTCACAGGGTTCAAAGGTCAGTGTTCCCAACAGTGAAGATGTCTTCATTAGGGAAGACAGAGATCAACTAGAGTACCGCTTATGCTCAAACCAAAAACACCCATGTAACTATACGGCAGACCGATGGAAACGGCAAATGCCAGAGGGAAAGGAAACGTGTTTGAAAACAGGAAGCCACGGCCTTTAACATTTGATGGGTGGAGTAACAGCTGTCATGGGGATGGAGGCGAGCGGCGGGTGAAACGCTGTTACATTGGGCCGTTACTACTGGAGTCACCCCTGCAGAATGAGACAGCTATATTTAGACACTTTAACTACATGTCCAGTAGTTTCCAGTGGAAAAACACTCACTTCTGCTCCTTGGGTGACTGAGTACCAGGGATGCTTCCTGTTGCTATGACATCTGTTGCCATGCCACCTGTTGCTCTGGCATTAGTGTCACTGAAAGAGTGGAAGGAACATCACTGTGTATATAAAGCTTTCTGAGATGTTTTGAGTCAATATGCAAATTTTTAACATCTGTCTGCAAACAATTTAATAATGCTTACACCGTGTCTACACCAGACGTGACAGTTGTCGTGACAGCTAAAGTCTGTCTACACCGGACACGACAAAGCAACCGTTGAAAATCATTGAAATTTGTGTCAATACGTCATAAATAGAACGTGGCAGCAGTTTTCTGTTGGGGATTTGTCGTTTTGCGCCGCGCCACATCCAGTGTACACAGCATCACTGATTATAATGAGTTCTATCATATTTTGTCACGCCGTGCCGCTTGCGTCCGGTGTAGACACGGTGTTAGATGTAATGCAATAATGTGTATTAGCGTGTTTTACCTGATGAAGACTGCCTTCTCATTTTTTGCATCTACACTGAGTTTAACGTTGTCCTTGGCATTGGCTGTGGCGACACTCTCTGTGATGATGTTGGTTCGGTTCTCCTCTTCCTCACTGTCTGACTCACTGGAGCTGCTGTCAGACGCCACCAGCGGAGCCTTCCTCGCCCCACACACATTCCACACACACGCCGACGAGCTTTTAACTTACACAAGACACATGAGCTGATGTTAAGATACCATTTCAAGAGCATTTAGAACAAATAACAATCAAAAGTACCATAAATACCTAATAAAAATATTACTACTATTATTAAATATATACAAGGTAAATACTAATAATAACAACAATAATAATTATTATTACTAATTATACTACTAATATTAATTAATAACACCAAATCTTTATAAGCATATTGCATAGAATATTAATACTCTTATGTATAACAGCAATTAGAGGGAGAAAATTTATTAATTTATTTATTATTTATTAAATGTATTATTTTATTAAATTAAATACATTTATTTATTTTGCATTTATTTTATAAATGTATTAAATAAAAATATATATATTTTATTAATTATAATAATAACCATGACAAAAATAATAATAATAATTATTATTATTTCTACTAAAATTAATAATAATAATGATGCAAAACATTTATAAGTATTTTGCATTTTTGCATAAGAAATTATTCTTAAGACTACAAGCACTTAGGAAAATTGATCAAATTGAAACTACATAATTACATCAACTACATAAAATTACATTATTTTATTACTATTAGTAGTAGTATTAGTATTAGTAGTATTAATAATAATAACAATATTTACATAATAATTATAATGATAAAATTCATATGAAATACACATAATGAATTATTACATATAATAAATAATGCATTACTACTACTAACAAAAATATGTAATATTTCAATTGAATAAATTAAGTAATGTACCATTTCAAGTACATTTAGAACAAAATTCAAAAGTATCATAATTCCCTAGCAATAAATATTTATTATTATTATTATTATTTATTATTATTAAATATTTCCAAGTTAATAATAATTATAATTATTATTATTAACAACACCAAACTTTTAAAAGCATCTTACACAGAAATAAATATTCATATAGCTAATAACATTTAGAGAGAGAAAAGAATTGATTAAAATTAAAATATTGCATCATTTTATTATTATTTTAATATTATTATTAAAAAAATATATATTTTTTGCAAAAATGAAAGATGCTTATAAAAGTTTGGTAACACATTACATAGTTAAGCCAGGATGTTTATTTGTTGTGCATTAGTATAAAGAGGAATGATGCAATATATATATATATAATGTATGTATGGTATAAGCAAGTAAGCAACTTACTTTCTTCATTTTGGCTCGGTTTGTTTGGATTTTCCGAGTCCACAGGTGAACTGCATCTGGGTCCTGCATCTGAACTGCAGAACATGAGAACATTTAGCACAGTGTCTACATGACATGAATATGCAATATCAAGTCAAACACAGTCCTCCCTCACCAGCAGAAGGGCTGGAAGTCTGTGAAAGTTGCCCATCCCTTCTCCTCCGTCTCACTGAGCTGGGCGGTAGAGCTCCCCCACACACTGGAGCCCGTATCCATCACGATACTCGTGAAATCCCGACAGCTGAAGTCGTCTTCAAAACTCGCTATCCATCCAGGACCTGATGGGTGAGAATCATCTTTCCAATCAGTTATTATATTGGATCAGCTGTCTAGATCTAGATTGTGTGAGCTGTGAATATACTTTGCGGATCGCTGGACTGCTTGTCCATTTCCTGGTTCTTGGTATTTTCTTGAGTTTGTTTGGTCTCTGGAAACCACTCCATGTCAGGTGACTCCAGACGTCTGCGAGAGCCACCATCCGCCTCGCTCTTCTGAGCGTTTGTCACCAGTCCAAACCTAACGAAGACGAACAGCAGTCAGAGCAATGACTGTTTTGTGTGTCAATATGTGTGTGTGTGCTTTATGAACCTGCTTCTGGCTTTCACTTGTGTTGCATAGTTGATTTCTTTATCCTCCCAAATGTCTTCCTCCTCCTCAGCATCATCAAATGGCCGGATTCGCTCTTTTGTGCGAGTCTCAAAGATGGCAGAGCTCGCCTGAGAGATGAGGAAAAACAGGAAGGGTTAGCAAAAGTGAGAAAGGAAGCTAAAAGAGTGCAAATAAGAAGAAAACAAACACAAAAACATGGAAAGGATGATATTATAACCCAAAATGGGGGGAAAAAACTTAATAAACTTAAACTTCATAAGAATACAGAACAAATAACAAAGAATTGGCATTAGACAATACTCGCCCCCTCAGCCACCAGGTTAAATTTGATCTCTGTGATTCGATCGAACGTGGCGCTGCACGAAAAACAGACACAGAAATGTAAACAAATTTAAACCTGTATCAATAAACATAATTATTAAATTGCTGGACATTGTGTAACTGCATGTTTGTATGAAGCACCAAATGTTAACCTTTAGTTTTTCTAATTATGGTAGATTTACTGTAGGTAAACAATCATTGGTCTGAATGAAAATGCAAATTCATTCTTTGCCACTAGGTACCGCTTTTGGAGCGGTAAAATAGTGGTTTCCCCGGTAACGCTGTACACAAAGCAGCACTGCGCTCAAAAACGCTGCTTTTATTATGATATGGAAATGAAATCAACCAATCACCGCAGATTAGCATCACACAAAGGAGGGGTTTGGAAAAATGAATCGTTGAGCGAATCGTTTAGGAGTCATTGAGCAAGTAAGGTAAAAATAAATGCATATTATAAGATAACGAAAGTGTTTTTTGACCTTGCATGCATGTCAACCTGTTATTGGGTACTCCAAAAAAACTAAATATGAACCTTTCATTACCCATAACAGGGGCACTTTAAGAAAAAGGATTTTTATACAATTATATTGTACGTCTAAATTAATTTGATATTTTTTACATATTTTAATAATTAACAATTATTTATTTAACTACTGATTAATTTAATAATTCAATCTCTAAATCTAAACCTTTGTACAGGGAATCACCTGATGCTGCCGTCATGGTCTCCGAATTCATCGTCATTCAGTCCAAACTGATCAACAAAGTTCGCCGTCATTTGCTGGATCTGATAATCTGAGAACACCTGTGTTAAGAGCAAGATGCTTATTAAAGGTGATTTGCAGATTGTAATTTTTGACATAAAAATACTCCCTACGATTGTCTTTGTGGGAAATCTCACCAGGTCTGCTGTGTTTTTCTTGTTAGTTTCTGTTAGCGTTTCATTCACAAACTGCTCCCAGCGTGCTTTATAGTCCTCTGGTAGCTCTGTCATACACAAACATACCAAATATTTGAAGATAAAGAATGTGTATAAGAATATAATATGTAAATCACACACAAATCCACCCAAAAACATTCGTAGTGTGTGAGTCAGCTACCTTTTATTAGCCGTGCAATTTGGGTCTGTTCCTGTTCTCTCTCTGCATTCTGCACCACTGTGTTTGCAATTCTGGTCATATGACCCATATAGCCTTTTCTCATGCCTCCAGCTTCCCTATAACACACACACACACGGACAGATGCTTGTATTACTATACATGTAATATAATATACAAATACTCAACCAGCATATTGACACGGCTCTCGTATATTTAAATTTGTCCTTACTGTGTTTTGTCATTTTCCTCCCAAGCATCCAAAATCCTCTGAACCAGACTGCAGTCTTTCAGCAGCTGCACACACAGAATCATATCACAATGACGTACACATATTTCACAAGATGCCTTTTCATTTCTGACAATTAATGCCGTAGGCAGAACAAATGTAATAACTTGTGTAGAAGTGAAACTCCAAGCAAAAAATGTACTGTAAATGTGAAAAAAATGTAAATATGCTATTTATTTTATAACACACACAATTCTTTTTGACACATTATTATGTATTACTATATATGACTATACTCAAATAATAGAGAATACACTATTAATAAGTGAGGGTCATACTTACATGCTTCATCATGTCACAGCATGTGAACATGTCAGATTTGTCTGAGTTTTGTGTGTCTTGTGTTTCCAGCTGAATCTGATCTGGACTGTCGTGTGTTTTCCCGATAGGTGTCGTCTGGTTAAGGATGGCAGAGACACAATGCTCTACTTGGATGTGTAGGAAGTTATTCCAGGAGAATTTGAAAAACAAATCCTATAGAGAGAAATTGAGAAGAAAAGAGTAAGAAAGAGCATTTAAGAAAGAAGTCTCTTATGCTCACCAAGGCTGTGTTTGTTTGACCAAAAATACAGTTGTTGTTTTTTTTTAATAAAAAATGTTGAAATAATTTTCTGTAACATATTCTAAAATATAATTTATTCCTGTGATCAAAGCTGAATTTTCAGCATCATTACTCCAGTCTTCAGTGTCACATGATCCTTCAGAAATCATTCTGATATGCTGATCTGCTGCTCAAGAAGCATTATCAATGTTGAAAACAGTTGTGCTGCTTAATTTTTTGAAAAAAACATGATACTTTTTTTGTCTTGTCTGATAAATAGAAAGATCAAAAGAACAACATTTATTTGAAATATAAATAATTTGTAAAAAAATGATAGGACCTAAGAAAGAAAACATTTTATTTATTTGTTGACTAGACTAAGAATGACTAATACCAGCAGTAGGTTGATCATGTTCAGTTGGCAGAGCTCGAGGTGGATTCTGGGAGCTCTGGTGTACAGAAGAGCAGCCATCAGTCTGGATGCATGCAGTCGCGCGTTGCCAAACGGCTCCTCCAGAACACCCATCGTGGTCAACATCACACATTTCTGAGCACAGAGAGTCGAAACATCCTCAATATGACATCGTTTTGTTTTTAAGACTTGTGAGATAACTGCAGGAACAGACCAACCTTGGGTGGGTTTAACAGAAGGTGGTGGAATTGCTTTAGATGTGGTTGGATGCCCATTAAAATGCTGTTGTTTACAGTGTAAGACTTTTCCAATCCCTGAGAGCACGGGTCAATCACCTGCTCAACACTGTTACGCACAAACACACACGCATTAGTAACAGTGAATGTGAGATGAAATATGGCTTGTGTTTGTGTTACTCACCCTGGTCTACGAGTTTCCAACAGTGCGAGTAGAACTTGAGTTCCATTGACAATGCACACTTCACTCTTTTCCCCTTCAAACATGTTCTTCAATAGTGCCTCGACATTCTGCTGTCTGAAACACACACGCATAGCAGCGAGATTTAGATTTCCATCACTTGCTTACCGGTGGATCCTCTGCAGTGAATAGGTGTCGTCAGAATGAGAGTCCAAACAGCTGATAAAACCCATCACAATAATACACAAGTAATCCACACCACTCCAGTCCATCAGTTAACATTTTGGAAAGTGAAAAGCTGCGTGTTTGTAATAAACAAATCCATCAGTTAGATGTTTTTAACTTCAAACCATCACTTTCAGGAAAAATGCAAGTCCTCTATCCATAATATGGTTTTCTTCAGTAAAAACGTTGTCTGAATAAGGAGAAAAGTATGCACAAAACAAGCGAAAACAGTCCAAAACGTCTAAAAAATATGTTGGCAAATTTTGAGGATTCACAAGACTAGTCGTGTGGATTACTGTGATGTTTTTAGCAGCTGTTTGGACTCTCATTCTGACGGCACCCGTTCACTGCAGAGGATCTATAGGTGAGCAAGTGATGTAATGCTACATTTCTCCAATTCTGTTCCAATGAAGAAACAAACTCATCTACATCTCGGAAGGCCTGAGGGCGAGCACGGTTTCAGATCATTTTCATTTTTGGGTGAAAAGTTTCTGAACTATTCCTAGCTAAAGTTTCAAGACACCGTCTAGCTGACATGAAACGTGACCAAGCACAGTTTGCAGTGAAAGAGACAACACACACACACACTCACAGCTCTAGTGTTGTGAGCAGAGGGTCGGTCTCTGACGTCTCCTGCAGCAGACTGGCCTGATCTCTGCTCAGACGGATGATGTCACACAGCGTCTGAGATGCGTTCGACTGCGTCTGTGAACACACAAACACATTTATGAATATAGGTCTTCATTCATATTGATATATATTTGAAAGACGGAATTAAACATTTTTGCTGCATGAGGACTTTTTCAGTACCAAGATCAAAAACCTAGCATCACTACTATTCATCAATGCTTCACTCTAGGTATTAAACTTTGTTGTGAAGATGTAAAGCTGCAGTGACTGACCTCACTGTCGCTGTGAGGGTGTATCAGCTCAACGAGTCTCTGGATCAGCCTCTCTTCATTCAGCCACTGACAACAGAGGACATGAAACATCAAAACAAAAACACACACAGACACAGGCATTTCTTTAGTTTTGAGCACTTTTACATCCCAGGGGTTGATTTTTGCTCAATACAAAGATTTAAAATCTTTCTTTTTTCATTAAGGTTACCTTAAAATTGTCTTGGAAACTTTTCACCATGCATTTAATTAATGACTTCTGCGTACAGATTTTATTGTTTCCCCCCATCCCACACTTTAAATATAAAATCAGCGTAAATTTATTTAAAATACGAGTTATTCTACTAATTAACTACGATGAGTTAAACAAGTCTTTAAATATTATGTACACTACCATTAAAAGTTTGAAGTCAGAAAAAATACTACAAGTTTTTTTAAGAAATGCTGTTCTTTTGAACTTTGTATTTATGAAGGAATCATGAAAAAATAAAACGTATCATGGTTTCCACAAAAATCTGAAGCAGCACAACTGTTTTGCACAACATTGATAATAAGAAATGTTTCTGGCTGATCAGTAAATCGGCATATTATAGAATGATTTCTGAAGGATCATGTGACACTGAAGACTGGAGTAATGATGCTGAAAATTCAGCTTTGCATCACAGGAATGAATTACATTATAATAGAAAACAATTATTTTAAATTGTAATAATATTTCACAGTATTACAGTTTTTACTGTATTTTCCAATCAAATAAATGCAGCCTTGGTAAGCATAAAAGGCTTCTTTCAAAAGCATTAAAAAAAACTTACAGAAATCTAATTTTTTAAACCGTATATAAAGGATTATTTAATAGTGTCTATTTAGATTTCCACCAGAGTATACTGTTAAACTCATTATATCTTCTGAGATGTGCTGAAAGTGTTAATGACTTTGAATTTGAATGAGTTTTTCTGTGATGAATATTGGACATTGTTAGTAGACAAATTAAATAAACGGTGAGAGAATAATTCAATTCAAGCTTATTTGTATAGCGCTTTTCACGATACAAATTGTTGTAAAGCAGCTTTACAGAAAATTAAGTTTCTACAATATATTTAGTAGTAGCTTATCAGTGGTGACTGTCAAATTGATGTACATATGGCAGAAATGTACGGTAACATTCAGTTAATGACGTAATCAAACAGACGATGATTATATGTTGCAATCAAAATTTGGTAGTTTATGTTGTTTCATCAGAGTAAGAGAATAAATGTAAGAGAGTTTATTTTTTACAGAGCCAAAGTGGCCACTACATAACGAATCAGGAGGTCGTGTGCACTCACAGTAAGCACTTCCTGTCTGAGACAGACGGGCTCCACGCTGCTAATGAGACGCAGCACAAGATCCATCATGGCCGACGTGTCCAAGTGTTTCAACACCTGCCCTACGAAATCCTCCTTGTTCTTTAGGAAACCAATTACCTGATAAATAATGTAATAGAGCAAAAGGCTGAATGAAAATTTGCAGAAAAACAGATTTTCAAATGAGAAAAAAAAAAAAAGAGACAACTGCGTTTGTGCACCTGCTCTGTCTTGCGGGTGATGAGGTTGCCGAAGGCCTTACTGAAGAAGGAAGCCAGTAGAGGATTCAGCGCTGACTTCTGCTCTAGGAAACTATAGAGTGTGTTCATCAGAGACTCGTCTCCACCAACTTTATCATTGATGAGGGACATATCGCATGTCAGCAACTCACATGCTACATTAGCATACCTGCATGAGAGACAGAGAGAAAGAACAATATATGACAAGTGGATGATTGATATATATCGCAAATACAATGCAAATTTAATGGCAGCACATGAAAGAATGCATCTACATTTATCTTATATCACATTTACTCAAAATTCACAAGATATTTAGGAACTGAAAATGTGTGTTATCCATTGACAAGGTTGTCTGTAAATTTGCGAATGGACAAAATAGGGTTAACACTACTGTTTATCATCCAAGTGCAATAATCGGCCAAGCCGATAATCTCAATATGGCCAAAAATCGTTGTTTAATGGTCAAATTATGACTGTTTAATAAGCCTGTCTAATGACTCCCAGACGGCCAAATCAGTATTGTTATTGTTAACTAACACTATTATTAATTGTTTCCAGTAACTGAAATAAAGCTGAAATAAAATAAAACAAATACAACTGAAAAACTTACACTAAAATTTAAAAATAGACGTTTAAGTAGAAGTAAACTTACTATAAATGAAATTTTAAAAAATAAAGCAAAAAGAAATATAAAAAGCAAAAACTTGAATTAAAATGAACAGAAACCGAAAACATAATAAAAATAGCTAAATATATTTTTTGCATGTAAATAATACAAAAATAAGACTGGACCAAATATTGCTTAAATATTCAGACTAGGGTTGGGCCGATAGACGATGCCATCGTCCATCGCCGATGGCTGATAGACATCACAATGTTGAGCCCCCTCCCCCCATTCCCAATACCGTGTTCGGAAAGAAAATGATGTGTAGGCAGAACCCCTAAAGAGAATAAATACGAGATGGGAGGAAAATATATATTTCAACATTTTTCCTCGCAGTTATATAATTGGGTAATTATACTACATATTTCGGCATCAGGGAGCCGCTATTATACCTGGCATTGAAACTAGCATCGTGCTTTTGAATGCACGATCGCTTTTAGTTTCACTTTCACTTTCGAGATTCGCGATCGCTCATACTGTGTTTATACTATGGAGCGGCAGTACTTGCCACACATTATACAAGATTATATGTTTGTCAGTGGTACTGAGGATCTGCAAATCATTCGCCATCATCCTCAGTCATCTCCCCTTACTCTGTTTATGTGGTAAGTGAAATTTTATGCAGGCAAAGTTTGAAATCATTTTATTTTAGAGCTGCTCAGAAAGTGTTGATAATCCAGACAGTCTCTTCACTCACTTGTAGCGCAGTTTCTCCTCCCGGTCAGCAGGGGGCTCATGCGTGATGAGGTTGAGGAGCTCCAGCATGCTGCTGTCCCGAGTGAGGAAGAGGAGGAGGCGCTGATTCTGGGCCTTGCACTCCTGCAGCACATCTTCTTCATCCAGCAGCTCCTGTAGGGTCACGTCCTCCTTCTCCAAGAGCTTCTCAATCTGAGAGGAGTTGTGCAGGTCGAACTTCCAGAACATGACTGCAGCTTACAGACGAAAGAGAGAGAGAGAGAGAGAGAGAGAGAGAGAGAGCCTGAGACAGAAAGAAAGAGAGTTACTCAAGCATATCAGAAAAACAAACCGAGATGATGTTTCACAGGGTTTGCCGCCGGTCACCACTTATTCACTACAATCTTGGTTAGTCAAAAATGTCGATATAGAAAATGCATAATGCACCAGAAGAGATCAATGCATAAATAATGCACAGTAAAATGAACACCTACAGTATAAATAAAACATATTCAAAACAGCACATACAGCAACCATTAAACATTAGCGAGTCAGCTGTAATTAAACTCTTGCTGAGCAGCTTGAGAATCAATTGCATCAGTCAATTAAAGACTATTAGCTGATCTGATTTCATTTGCCTTCAGGTTTGACTGTCCCTGGACTTCAAACCCAATATTACATGGCATAGGATTATGTGTATAATACTAAAGCTGATCACCATAATAATACTGCTGGTATTGTTTACAACACAGCCCTGCATCATGAACAAAAATGTCTTAGGCCTAATATTGCCTAATTTGATGATACAGAGTTAAAAACATCAATAAAAACTTTCACATAATAACAGAAGAGTTTTCACATTTTAAATATATATAAAAATGTTTTAGTTCTCAAAGGTTTCAGTTTTAATGACAAAATAATTATTTAAAATGTATGATTGAACTTACAATCTGCAAAAGAGTGGAAAATATATTCAAATACTCCATTCGATGTCAGATAGGCTAACTTTACTTAGAAGTTTATAAATAAATTAGTTTTTCACTAAATCGGTCATTTTCAGTTGCTGTTTGATGTAGTAAAACATCCACAGATACAGCAGAAAACATCTGGGTCATGTTTGCATTTTCTTGTCACTGGCCATAATTCTAACCTTGAAATTAGGATTAGGCTTAAAATAATGTCTTCAGAATCTTTCATACATGTGAATATCGGCTCGGAATTGAACAAATAATTCTAAACTGGCTCAGACTAAGACAGAAATCATGTCTTTGTGGCAATTTTTCTGCTAGTTAAAGGATAATACAACTACACTTCTTCCTTGCAAATGGTTGTCGATAAGAAAAATGCTACAAATTGCATCATATTTTATAAGAAAGCCTGAAATGCTAGAGCAAAACTATTTTTGGAATCAGCACCTTAAAATTAGTAGGAAACAAGTATTGGATTTCATTCAGCAAACATGATGCAGGGCGGTGTTATGTGTAAAATACTTAAGTCATGATAATAACGCTGGTGTTGTTTATAATTCACCCATAGAGAATGTTAAGCAGTAAATTACCTTCAGTCAGATGGTGTGTGTCCTTAGTTGGGATGCAGAGACCAGTTTACACACATTGGTTTACTAGACTAGTGGTCAGTGGTCATATAACCCATCCATCCGCAAGGCTGCTTCACATTACAACACAGGCACCTGTAGGGACAAAGACAAGCCATCAAGACATGACTAAGACCAGTGAGACGAACAACAGTCCATCAAATGAGAGCTGAGGAAAGCATGCTATGCACACTTCATTAAGCCACATTACGGTTCTGTAATACGACTAACAGTCGGGCTGAATAAGCTCTTGTTCAAACGCACATGAAGGTGTTCACACACACACACACACAGATAGATAGATAGATAGATAGACAGACAGACAGACAGACAGACGATAGATAGAATGACAGACGGACAGACAGACAGACAGACGATAGATAGAATGACAGACAGACAGACAGACAGATAGACAGATAGATAGATAGATAGATAGATAGATAGTGTAGAACTGGCAAAGTGAGGTTTTTAACATTATGAACACCAGTGAGCAAATACTAAAGTACGGTGCCCGGGAGGTGACATGGTCGGTTCACTTAGTTTTGTCGTGGCCACGAGATATTATCTTGAGGGAACGTCATATTAACTCATGGGAACGTGATATTATGTCATGGCCTCGAGATGCTATGTTGAGGGAACGACATCCATTTCTCGTGGCCACGACTTCTTCTTATGTTGAGGGAATGACATATGCGTAAACAAACTTGCGTGACCATAGCAACCCGGGATTATCGGAGATGGATAAAATATTTTTATTAACATTAAACATTTAATTTAATATTTGTTTATTATTATTATTATTACATTAACTTATTAGAGCTATATTTTTATATTTATTGTTATATATGCTTATTTCCCCTTTCAATTTGTGTATCGCTTTACCTAGTTAACGTTTTGTATAATTATGCTAGCATTTGCTAGCCTACATAAGGATGTCATTACCTCGACAAAATGATCTCGTGGCCACGATATAATATCACGTTCCCACAAGTTATTATGTCGTGGCCACGACAAAACTAAGTGAACCGACCATGTCAACTCGTGGGCACCGTAAACTTCAGTTATGTTAGATGTGATATTAAATTTTACACCATGTTTTAATAATACAAAATGTATTTAAAATTTTGTCAATATTTCAACATGTCATTATCATCATTTTAGTCCATTTTACTTTGCCTGAAGTGGCATGTAGTTTTATTAAACAAAATTAGCATTTCATTTGATGCTAATGTGCAAATGAGTAAAAAGCCGTCAGGTCAATATTGAATTGCTCTGATTGGCCAGCTATCCAGTGCGTTGTGATTGGCCGAATACCTCAAGCGTGTGACGGAAATGTTAC